ACCCTCAAAGTGATCCATGAGGGCTGAAATCAATGTCTTCCAGACTCCTATTTATATTGATATTTTGTTCTCCTCCCATGAATCACAAAGGTTCTTAATGGCATGTAGAATGATGAGTCCTTTCCAGAAGGCTTTTAATTTACTTTACTTAGATCCATCAGAGTAATCACTATGGCAGTTATAGCCTTACAAAAATGTATTTCTTATATAATGAACTTGAAAGTTGAAATTACTCCTTGGTCCCTGTACTGCAGAATGGATGTTGTGTTTCCCAGCAAAAAAACAACATTAATCGCCTTGTACATCCCCATCAGAGCTCTTAGATGACCAGGTGCATTGTCCATGAGCAGTAATATTTTGAAAGGAATCTTTTTTTTCCTGAGCAGTAGGTCTCGATAGTGGGCTTAAAATATCCAGTAAACCATGCTGTCAACACATGTGCTCTCACTAGGCTTTAGTGTTCCATTTATAGAGTACAGACAAAGTCAGAATGGCAAATGAGAACTGGTTTCAACTTACAGTCACCAGTTGCATTATCCCCTAACAAGAGAGTCAGTCGTTCTGTCCTCTGAAGCTTTGAAGCAAGGCTTCAAAGCCTTTTGTATTGAATTCTCTAGCTATAAAAGTCCTTGATGCCGCCATTTTTTAATAGAAGGCTGTTTTGTCTGCACTGAAAATCTGCAGTGTGCTGTAGCCATCTTCATCAGTGATCTTAGCTAAGTCTTCTGGATAATTTGCTACTGCTTCTACTTCAGCACTTGCTTATTCACTTTGCACTTTCATGTTATGGAAACTGTTCCTTAAACCTCATGAACCAATCTCTTCTAGCTTCAAACATCTTCTGCAGTCTCCTCACTTCAGTCAGCCTTTATAGAATTGAAGAGAGTTAGGGCCTTGCTCTGGATTAGGTTTGTGCTTAAGGGAACGTTGTGGCTGGTTTGATCATCTATCCAGACCACGGAAACTTTCTCCATATCAGCAGTAAGACTGTTTGACTTTCTTATCATTCGTGAGTTCACTGGAGTAGCACTTTTAATTTCCTTCAAGAACTTTTCCTTTGCATTCATAACTTGGCTGACTGGTGCAAGAGGCCTAGCTTTTAACCTGTCTCAGCTTTTGATATGCCTTCTCCACTAAGGTTAATGCCTTCTAGTTTTTGATTTACAGTGAGAAATGTGGGACTTTTCCATCCACTTGAATATGTAAAGGCCTTTGTCGGGTTATTAATTGGCCTAATTTCAATCTTGTTGTATCTCAGAGGATAGGGAGGCCCAAGATGGGAAGAGCCAACTGGAAGAGCAGTCAGAACACACACAACATGTATTGATTAAATTTGCCATCTTACATGGGCACGGTTTGTGGCACCCCAAAATAATTACAAGAGTAACGTCAAAGATCACTGATCACAGATCATCACAGCAGATATAATAATAATTTTAAAAGTCTGAAATATTGCAAGAACCACCAAAATGTGACACAGAGAGACAAAGTGAGCACATGCTGTTGAAGAAATTTGCCAATGCACGTGCTTGACACACGTGCATTGGCAAATTTGAAGGTTTGAAGGTTGCCTCAAACCTTCAATCTGTAAGAAACACAGTATTTGGGAAGTACAATAAAATGAGGTATGCGTGTACTTACGTATATACCTATAGATTTACATATAATTATTCATTTGTTCCAGAAATTAAGGCAGGCTGATTAAATGCCTGTTTACCTCCTTGAATATATGTTTGTTTACCTGGTTGAGCCCAACTGAAATATCACTAAATGAAAGTTTGTCTTTCTATTGAAATTACAGTTTATACCTCTTTTCGTGTATATTGATGTAGTTGTAACCCATATCTGTATTTAAATGTTTAGTGGTGTGCTTAGCACAGTATAAGCTATTGTAGAGATCCAGAGGGAAGAATAAAATATAATTCCTGGCCTTGTAGCGTTCAGTTCTGGAGATTCATTATTGTATTGCCAGGAAGAGCTAAGTAAACACTTTGGTAACACCAGAAAGAGGTTGCTCAGAAGTCATAAAAGAAGAAGTTTTTGAAAGGTGAAGAGAACACAAGTTGTCCTAAACTAAGAGTGCTGAGCAAGAAGAGGAATGGAAGAAAAAGCAAAACAAAAAATACGTGTTTTGTCTCCTTGGGTACATTAATCTGTGTTAAGTCATGATTCTCTTAGTGGCAGAAACATAGACTTTAATTAAGGGGCAAGTGTAATTTTATTTTGTGTTCTAGCAGGATGAAGTTGCAAGGCCTGTAGTATGAAACTAAAGATAATTACTAGTGGGAAGGTTTATTTTGAGAAACATGGGGGTGGTGGGGGGGAGGGGGAAACCACTACTTTTATCCTACTTGTTTGCTATTAACATTTTAATTTGTAAATTGGCATACTGTAGCAGGGCAAAGTTTCATCTAGTGCAGTATCCTGTTTATAGTAGGAGGCCACCCTGAGTGTTTCCAAGAGAAACTGCACCACCCTCTCTGGCCCGGGGTCATGTTTGCTGGTAAACCCCTTTCAAATTTATGTCATGCAAATCAGTACCAGTTACTTCTCCTTCACCTGCTAGTTCGGGAACTAGCTTATCAGAAAGCTGTTTTATTTATTGATTCATACGTTCCCTGTAATCCATATAAAATTGTGTTACCGGGAACTTAAAATACTTACCAAAAGAAAAAAATTTAAAAATTAGATGATTTACATATGGATTACTTATTCTATTAGTATATACTGTATTATCTTAATTTATTTTCACAATAGCCCAGTAGCCCTATGAGATGAATATTATCCCTCTCTCCATTTTATAGGTGAGAAAAAGGCGCACAGCCCGAATGTGAAGTTTCATCTCACAAAGTGTATTGCGTGTCAAAATGTCATTTCTCACCACAATAGATATGTCTAAAGCTGTGAGTGCTGCCACTTTAGAAAACAAAGATCTTTGTACAATTATGTTTCTTAAATTTGGCAGATTTTGATGTTCAAGTATGAAGAACCTGAAAGGCAGAGGATCCTAGCATAAGGCCAGCATATTTACTGCAGGATGGGTAATGTGAGTGTGGCTCCACCTCGCCCAGGTCTAGGTGTGCAGTATGGCTACAAAGAGCTGCTGAGGCCAGGCGCTGTGCACTCCTGTAATCTCAGCACTTTGAGAGGCCGAGGTGGGCGGATCACTTGAGGTCAGGAGTTCAAGACCAGCCTGGCCAACATGGTGAAACCCCATCTCTACTAAAACCGCAAAAATTAGCCGGGTGTGGTGGCACACACCTGGAATCCCAGCTACTTGGGAGGCTGAGGCAGGAGAATCGCTTGAACCCGGGAGGCGGAGGTTGCAGTGAGTTGAGATTGTGCCACTGCACTCCAGCCTGGGTGACAGAGCAAAACTCCATCTCAACAAAAAAAGAAAGAAAGAAAGAAAAAAAAGAGCCTACTGAATACCCAGCCCAGAAGTGTAACAGTTTCATAAAATGTATCCAGCTGTTTTTCTACTAAATAAGAAATTCTTCAACTCCAATTCCAATTTAGTAGTCTATATGTAACAAGGTTAGTAAGGTATATATACCTATTAATTCCTGGTAGAGAAAGTGTTGATAAAGGATATCTATGAGTAATTTTATAATCTGAACTTCTTAGTAAAAGGAGTATTTTAAACAACCGCTACTAAGAAGGTGACTGATTTGAGTTCATCTCTGGGCTTCCACTTTGGCTAAAATGCTAATGTTCACAGTCAATGAAAAGAAAATGGAGAAACACAGGGCATGGTTGATCCATATGCATGACTGACTCTTGAAGAGCTAAGAGGTAACTGGACGGAATTAGCTGGCTCTTTGATTCCATAAAATCCTTCAAAATATTTTCTGAAGGATGAAATTAGGTAACAGATGTGAAAGTGTAATACTTTGAAAATTAAGAATCACTGGCACCTGCAAGTTATTAATGAGCCGCTCCCTTTATGACATTTTTATTCACTACTGGACTCTGAAAGGCTGTATGCGCCTGCTGTCTCTTTCTTTTCATTTTTCTTTTTCGTTTTTTCTTTCTGTTTCTTTTCTTTTTTCTTTTTCTCTTTCTCTCCTTCCTTTCCTCCCTCTCTTTCAAATCGATGACCTGACAGCATGCAGCAGTGGAGAAGGACCACATTAGTCAACTTACCTAATGCTTGCATGAATGGTGACATTACACAAGTTCACCTCTGTCACTCTTTCTATTTGACCCCTTTGTGTCCTTGGAGGAATTTTTAAACACTCTCTGAGTTTTTTTAATGTGTTTCACTTAAATGTATTCTCTTTCACTTGGCAAGATACGTTCTTCTTTCTCTTCCTCTCTTCTTTCACTTATTTTTATGCATCTTAAGTATGAATGTCAGTAGGTGCCCACTGGTGAAGTGGCTGGCCTTACTGTCTGATCATGTGCCTTTTGCAAATAGATACTCAAAAAATATGTGAATGAAATTTTAAAAAAAAGAAACAGGTGAGTTGCAGAGTTTTTTCCCCTCTTTTTTTTTTTTTTTTTTACAAATATGTCATTTGTCCTGGCAATAATATTTGTATTAAAAAATGTGTTAACCTAAATTTGGAAATTTTCTCTATTCAAGTATAGGGGATTATGGGATCTCAAGTGTTTGCCTTAAATGTTGATGTTTTTCCTACAAATGTAACAAGGCAGAATGTGAAACTCCTTTGAAGTGAAGTAGGAATGGTGTTTGTTTTGGAGTACTGAAAAATCATTTTACTCTTTAGGCATTATATGAGTTTATCTCTGTTTTGTCACCTAAGAGAAACAGAAAGCATGAGGAAATAATTCTTCTGTGGAATCTTCTGAAAGTGATATTGAATTCCCAAATCTCATCATAGAATATTGCCAATTGATGTTCACTTTAAGAGGCTTGATGATTGGTCTGTTTTCAACTAGTATGTTTATTTGCTTGTGCTTGTGATGTTGATGTGAGGAAAACCATTCCACAATTTGTTAAAATGATTAATGTTTTCTTCTTCCATTTTTTTAAGGAAATGGCAAAAATCCTTAATCACCCCAGAGTCTACGCTTTTCTGCACATACCAGTCCAGTCTGCCTCCGACAGCGTACTCATGGAAATGAAAAGAGAATACTGTGTGGCTGACTTCAAAAGAGTAGTGGATTTTCTGAAAGAGAAGTAAGTCTGTTAGTACTTAAGAAAATAACCATTTCTTTTTTCTTTCAAGAGCTTGTGGCAAAAATGCACTTATTGCAGCCTTACAATTAAAGGTACAAGAGAGAAGGCGAGACTTTCGAAGCTTTCAAAGCCTTTAAGTCTTCTTGGCACCTTTGATGTGGTTTTTTCTTTCTCCTCAGTTTATATCCACCTTCCATCTGTACATGACACACCATTAATTTGTGTAAGATTGCCAGTCGTTTTAAGGTAACGTGAATTGTGATTATTTTTATACCTGACCTGGTGGATGAAAACTGCTTTAGCTTTTGCTCTGTGTAAATCTCCTTTAATGTGGCTTTTTGAAGTCATGAACTGGTTTTGACATGGACGGAGGCCAAATCATGTCACTACAAAAATAGATAATTTTCTACTAAACAGCATTTTTTAAAGAGTATCTGGAATGTCTGTGCTTTTACACACAAAGCCCTGTAGTTTGCTTAAAGAATTGTGATTTACAAGAAGGTTTGAGGATTCTAATTTTTAAGGTTCAAATTGCTATTGACCAAAATTAAGGCATATTTACACAATGTCAGACATGAATGATAATTTTGTTTCCACAGAAAATACTTTCAGCCCATAATTATGTTCTTCAAAACCCTGCACCTCATCATCACCAAACATTGACTGCCTTCTGTGATTATACCAGGCAGGAAATGGAAGTACTGGCCAGGGTCACACAGAACCTTCTCAAGTCTGTGACGCTGTTCTCCTCTCTGGGGATATGTCATTTGTCTTGGCATATTTGTGGCCTGGGTCTTCCTACGTTTCATAAATTTTTTCCATAGCCTTTTCCTCTGTTGTTTTGCTTAATTAAGATACAACTTTTTATTTCCATCGTCTTGTTTATAATTACGTACCTTTGTACTATGTCAGAGTACTGCATGGATATGATTGCTTTATACAAATTGTAAGAAATTATTTTTCCACCTTTAATTAGTCATTTATCCTAACTGCATATGATCATTTTAAAATCATTTTCTTTCTTTTTCATTTCTCTATTCTTCCATACCTTTCCTTTACGTATCTTTCTAAGTTTTTTTTAACATCTAGGCTTTCTTGATTATCCTAACCACCAAGAATAAAGCTACTTAGAGTACATTCAAACAAATACAGCTAATTGTCCAAATATTCAAATCAGTGCATAGAAGGTGTATTTATTAAGTACTACAACCTTCAAAGTCGAAAATGGAAAATAGATCTCTACCCTTTTTAATACTTTCAAATCTTGAACAGAACTGTGTTAGGCTAAAGAATATAGATTTTTATGTGAAATGTCTGCCATTGGCCTATAGCGCTTTCTTGCCTTTCTTCTATTATTGCAGGCAAATTTGTCTCACATAAGAGAGTTCTTTTGGGCACGCTGGCACTGGTCAATGGAATATTTTCAGAATTTCAAGTCAGTTGTTGCACTTGTGAAATTTCTTCCTTCTTTGCCTATTATAGCAGTAGCGAATAAAAACTTGATACTTGTTACACAATATTTTCCCAAGTATAGACATGCATCCCCTGTGCAGAATAGACTAGAACACTTTCCAGATAGTTTGTTGCATTCATGTGATTAAATGAGGTTAGGGAATCAGCACCTCTCTTTTATCTTTATTTGGTTGAGAGCTGACTCAGTTGTTGGAGGAATTACTGTGGCTAACTTAACTGGGCAACAGTTTCGGAAGTTATGTTGTTCTGAAGGTCTATTAAGTCTGTTCCATCTTGAACAGTTGCAGCAGCCTCCATGAGCTATATAGAGGTAAAGAGATGATCATGTCAGGTATTAGGAAATAGTCTCTTGGATTTCTTTGGATCTGGGTCCTTTCTTTGGATTCTGAGTTATTGTGAGGCATCTATGTAGTTTTTCTAGAAGTATTCAACCAACTGGAGGATCCTAGAACCAACTATGTTTCCCAGGTATCTCTAGTATGTCTAGCAATGAAAATATTAGACATACCTGGAGAAGATATTGGAGATGCCTGGAGATCACACTCCATCCCATACCCACCCATATATAATTTCAGTTTCAAGTGCCATGAGTCAGTTGGATTGTAGAGTATGAGTCTAGTCAGTTAGCATCTCCGAGAGATTTTTAAATTAACTCTGTATTGTGTATATGCAGCAAGGGCAGAAGCAACCCTGGTATATAATTTCACATTTAGATTAAAAGTAAGATATATTGGAAAACTGTAGTAGGCAACCAATATGACATACTTGCTTATGTATAGCAGATGACTGAGAAAACTTCAGGTAACCTATTTTTTTTTTAAAAAAAATCAGATAATCACTGCTAATAAAGTGATCCTAGGCCCGGCACAGTGGCTCACGCCTGGAATCCCAGTACATTGGGAGGCTGAGGTGGGTGGATCTTCTGAGCTCAGGAGTTCAAGATCAGCTTGGGCAACATGGTGAAACCCTGTCTCTATCAAAAATACAAAAATTAGCTGGGCATGTTGGCTCATACCTGTGGTCCCAACTACTTGGGAGACTGAGGTGGGAGAACCGACTGAGCCTGGGAGATGAGGTTGCAGTCAGCCAAGATTACACCACTGCACTCCAGCCTGGGCGACAGAGTGAGACCCATCTCAAAAAATGAAATAAAAAAGTGATCCTTGCATAGTTTTAGACAGTGCATCAGAACCATAAAATTGTGTATTTTATCTAGTCCATCTGTTACTTGTGAAGAATAGTATAGACTTACTCCCATGAGGACAGTATAATCAGCTTTGCCATTTAGCGAAAAAGAGTTTCCCTATCCTCTTGGGGAAGTCCATCTACCTAGTGAATAATTTCCAACTATTACGGACATTTAGAAATAAATGAAATGTTTTAGACTAGGCACGGTGGCTCATACCTGTAATCCCAGCACTTTGGGAGGCTGAGGTGGGTGGATCACCTGAGGTCAGGAGTTCAAGACCAGCCTGGCCAACATGGTGAAACCCCATCTCTACTGAAAAATAATAATAATAATGTATGTATATTTATATATACACACACACACACACACACAAATTAGCCAGGCATGGTAGCATGCACCTGTAATCCCAGCTACTCGGGAGGCTGAGGCAGGAGAATCACTTGAACTTGGGAGGCAGAAGTTGCAGTAAGCTGAGATCACACCACTGCACTCCAGCCTGGGCGACAGAGTGAGACTCCATCTCAAAAAAAAAAAAAAGGACCAGGCGCTTGTTGTCCCTTCCTGTAATCCCAACACTTTGGAGACCAGGCGGGTGGATCACGAAGTCAGGGGATCGAGACCATCCTTTCCTAACACATTGAAGCCTCATCTTTACTAAAATACAAAAAATTAGCCGGGCGAGGTGGCGGGCGCCTGGGGCGAGGTGGCGGGCGCCTGTAGTCCCAGCTACTTGGGAGGCTGAGGCAGGAGAATGGCGTGAACCTGGGAGGCAGAGCTTGCAGTGAGCCGAGATCACGTCACTGCACTCCAGCCTGGGTGACAGAGCGAGACTCCATCTCAAAACAAAACAAAACAAAACAAAATATTTTAAATATTTAAATATTTAAATATTTTTGAAATATTTTAAATATTTTTGAAATATTTTAAATAGTTCTTATGTTTGACCTACTTTCCCCTATAAAAACTAGTATTGCTTTATGCCAAATAGATGAGTGCTTATTTTGGAAACACCAAAGTTTCAGGGCTTTCTTTAGAGTCACTAGTCTGGATAACTGATCCAGCACAAAATTGTCTTGTCCAGCCTTTATTAAAATTCAATACAGTATTTTCACTCTTGGAGGGCCTAACACTATCATGTTGTCCTGATTTGTGCATAACACTCATTCATAAAATGATCCTGACTTAAAGTGGTATGTTTGGTGCTTTCTTTTTCTGTTTTCTTTTTAAAAATCCTTCCTAAATGGTGGCCCATTTCATTTACATCTCTTATTTCCCCAGAAGTCTTTGAAGCCTTTTTTGTAATGTGCCTTTAACAAATAAAAGTCTGTCTTTCTTCTCCAGCAGTGTGAGGCTTCTCAAATATTAGTGTTATGAGTTATGGACAAGGCATTTCCTGATCCGTTTCCTTAAAAACTCCATTTTATAAGACAACCTACAGCATTTAAGATTGAAATCCAAACTATGGGAGTTTACCTGAAGCTGCAGGCTTTTAAACCACTGATTCTGTGATATTGGTAGAGTTGTGATTCTCAAATAGTGGAAGTGAAATATTTGTAATTAATTTTCTTTACGGTTGAAAATGGCCCATGTTTTAGCTGGGAGCAATGTAAGTTTATATATGAGCCAACTAAGCCGGTTCATTATTCTCTTCAGTTGTTTGAAAGTTGGCAGCCATCATCACAACAGCAGCTGGATACAAGATAACCTAGCAGTGTTGGCACATGTTGAGGCATATGGGAATTTATTAAATCATGCAACCTTTGCAAAGAAGAGTGTCTAAATGACTTAATATACTAATTCAAACAACTGGCCATGAGCAATCATATGCCTTAAATTATTCTATTCAGATTTATTAATCCAATTGAACATTAACTGAGTAATTTGATGTTTTTATCTAAATGGATAAGGTGATTTTTTGAAATATAAAATGGGATTTGTAGGGTTATGGGAAGAAAGTGTATAGAACAAAGCAAGAGGTACAATTCTGGTTTTAAAAATAATCTGTGATTGGCTGGGTGCAGTGGCTCACACCTGTAATCCCAACACTTTGGGAGGCTGAGGTAGGAGGATCACTTGAGCCCAGGAGTTCCAGACCAGCCTGTGAGACCCTATCTCTACAAAAAATAAAAATAAAAAAATTAGCTGAGCATGCTGGTGTGCACCTGTAGTCTCAACTACTAGGGAGGCTGAGGCAGGAGGATAACTTGAGCCCAGAAGTTGGAAGTTACAATGAGCTATGATCATGCTGCTGCACTCCAGTCTGCATGACAGAGCAAGATCCTGTCTTTCAAAAAAAAAAAATTTGTGTTTTTATATTTTAAAATATGTATCTTATATA